GGGGGTCAAGGCCACCCTTCCCATTTTCTCGAGGCTGCAGGGGGGCGACTTCGAGCTGGCCGCGAACACAGACGACGATCTGCTGCTTCAAGCCTTGGGGAAGCTGGGGAGGGACCAACGGCGGGAGGAGGCCAAAGCTAGAGGGGAAATTCCGGAACCCCCGACCCCCGAGCCCGAAGCCGAGGAGGAGGAGCAGATCCCGGGAGGCAGCCGGCCTGAGTCCCCTTTCATGGTGTAAATGTAAATTGTACTCTTTTCATTTTGCGTTTGTAATGCCCGGCCGTTAGAGCCGAAGAATATACGCCTCTTTTGCCCAAATTGTCTCTACATTCATGATCCTTACTTCGTTATTTTCACTTTCGTCTCCTTCATCGTCTGTTTGTATGGAAACTCCTTCGGAGCCTCGATACACCTTATCGCAAGGTTGAAAGCCCGCGAGGACGTTCGTCTCTGGTCCTTACTTGCCCAAGGCAACGGCGTCCCCTTGTCAAACCTCCGTACGTACTCAAGTGTGCGGAGGTACTGCTCAAGCCCGTCTTCGGGCGTCAATGCTAGGTTCTGATGCCGGCTTACCGTACTCAAAGTATTCTGACAACGAAACGACGTTCGTCGGTGGCTTATGACGTATACTGGAAGTCTGGACGTATGAACGTACTTCCCAGAACCAGCGTTTAGTAACGACGTTCGTCTGTCGTCACGTGACACGAATATTCAAGCTACGTATGGAGACGTCCGTCTGTTCTACATGTTCTAATGGCATGAAGTATGGAAAGACGAACGTAGCCCGTTGATGCGTATGTTTCCTACTAGCCGCCGATATTAGGGGAGCCGATGGTCGTGATCTCCGGGTGTCCCGAGTTCCCCGCTGGACATTCGTGGCTCCGATGCCGCCACCTTTGCCAAGATTATGCGGCGAAGGAATCGAGGCACCTTAAATACCGTGGTAGGTACCGGTACCCAGGCGCCACGTGTCCCACTTCGGTTGGTGTGTTCCCGCGGTGCTGCCTATAAGTACCCAGAACCCATGTAATTCATTCATACTTCTCCTTACGCTGCACAATTGTCTTCTCTCTCTAGACTTCTCTCATATCGTATCGGAAGTCCCGAACTCCCAAGGTACCGTTCGTTGCCATGTCTTCTGAAAACCGCTTCGACGATGGCTGCTCTTCCGGTGATGACTTGGAATATTATGAGCGGGGGATGCCGCCTCGGCCTCCCCGTTACAGTCTCAGCTTCTCGTGCGTCAGGCGTCAAATTCAGCGCCTGACGAATGCGGACAAGCGTCTGATCAGCCAATGGTTCTATCCTCCAAGGGCCTACGACGATCGGTGTCTGCGCAATCCCATGCGCCATCTGCCCGGCCATGTGGTGGTCCATTTGGATTCGGTGATAGCCGGGCTGAACTTTCCCCTGCATAGCTTCCACTTGGAGCTTTTCAGGGCCCTCGAGATAGTGCCTGCGCAGTTCGTCCCTGCCGCCTATCGGATTATCGCTGGCTTCATCATTAGATGCCACAGCGTCGGTGTGACCCCCACTGTCGACCTGCTGCACCATTTCTTTCGGCTATCCCCCTTCGGACGTACAGGGTATTTGACCCTGATCGCCCGTCTGTCCATGGTCCTATTCTCGAACAATGCTGGGAATCCAGACGGTTGGGAAGAGCGCTTCTTCCTGGCCGGAGTAGGCTCACCGATGCCATTCTCTGACCGGTGGAATGCTTACCCCGTGAAGACGATCCCGCCGCCCATGACGGACGAGGAGCTCGGATATGCCAAGCGCATAGCCGGACTTGGCATCCAGAACCTCCGGTTGTTGGTGGCCGAGCCTTTTAAAGCTCAGGCTGGGTTAGGTGCGTCCGTTTGTACTTGTATTGTTTTAGCATCTCTTCGCTGTTATGGCTCTGAACGTCTTGGTTCCCTTTGTGCAGGAATTTTCCCATCCACGTCTACCATGAGCCGAGTCAACAAGGGTCTCGACAAGCTCGGGAAGCCGCTCGTCCCCAAGGTCGAGTCTCGGGTGACCAGGGCACGGGCCGATGATACTTCGGGGGCCGGCGCCTCCAAGAGGCCGCGTGTGGAGGGCACTTCCTCCAAGGCCATCATCTTGGCCGATGATTCTGATGGGGAGCCCGGAAGTCCCCTCAAGCGGAAGCCCACTTCCCGGATCAATCCCCGTGCTTCTCCTCCGCAGAATTCCGACGCCCGCCGTCTCCGGGATGATGATGCCCAAGCTGCCAAGGGTTCTGACGACGCTCGTCCAAGCTCGCCCCCCGAAGCCAGTGGGTCTTCTCTTGGACTGATTGAGTTCTCCGGGGTTGGTCCCCGCAAAGAGTCAATGATGCTCTTCGGCCAGACAGCGTCCTCCATCTGGTGTGGGCTGAATCTCAAGGTTCCGCAGGACTTCGCTGCTCAGGAGGCCCCTGAAGATCTCTTGGAGTGCGGCCAGAGCACACTGGATAAGGCCGGGCTCTACTTTCACAGGGCTCGGATGGCCTTCGAGCACCAGGGCAGGGAGATGGCCAGGGTGCGGGCCGAATGTGACGCCCTTCTGAGGAATGCAAAAGGCAGGGCTGGAACTCTTCAAGAGAAAGCCGACGCCTATGACAAGCTCGTTCAGGAGAATGCTTCTCAGAAGGAGCTCCTTAAGAAACAGGAGGCCGAGCTTGTGGATCTTCGCAGTCGGATGTGGGCCGTAGACCAGGCCAAGGTGGAACTCCGCCGGACAGGCGTGGACAATCATGTCCCTATCTACGAAGCCGATGTTGCCAAGATCAAGGAATCTGGTTCCATTGCCTTCCAGAAATCCAAAGCTTACACTGGTGCCATCCACACCATGGCCATGAAGTTTCTCCCGAGGCTCGTCGGAGAATTTCTAGCCACCTGCCCGGACGCCTATCTGGATGGGGTCAAATTGCTCCAGGCCACCCCCACCGGACGGCGTTTCCTTGATGATCTTGCCGATGATACCTATCGCAAGGGCATGGTTGGGCTCGTAGCGGAGAATCTCCCCACGTTCGAGCGTCACTTCGGGGCTCCTTTCGATCCGGAGGCGGCTGGCTTTGATGTTCTGATGGCGGATGCTCATGCGGGGGCCCTCGAGCTGCTGAAGGAGCAGGAGGAAGCCGAGGCTAGGGAGAAAACCGAGCAGACTCCTTCCAAGGCCCCAACTCCGGACGTCGATCGGCCGTGATTCCCCGTTCATTGTCTTGTACAATTTCTTTCCATTATTTGCATTGTACCCTCGCACATTGTAGTTTCCCGGCCGATAGTGCCGAAGAATAAAATCATTCTTTGCTCCGTGCTCTTCTGGCATCTTTTTTTTTTTTTGGAGTCTTTTAGTCTTCGTTCGTCCTTGGTCCTTGGTCCTACCGGCGTCCCTACTTCGAGGAGAGGTTCAGTATCCGCAGACATCGCAAGGAGGAACAGGTTTATCTACATCGAGATTCCCCCTTTCTTCGTTCGTCCGTGGTCCTTTTAGTCTTACCGGCGTCTCTTGCTTCGAAGAAGACGTTCGGTACCCAAGGAACTCGCAGGGACGAACAGGTTTACCCTCACGGGTTCCCGACTTTGTTATCCCACGTCCATCGATCCATGGTCATTTGTGGGATAAACAGGTTTATCTTGGCAGTCTCCCTTGGTTCGTCTAGCCCCCTCCGCGTCTCTACTAACCTCTACATCGAGAGGTGTTCGTCTTCGGCGGTGGGGGAAGATCTGGCACGCCCGGGCAAGATTCCCTTCCGCATAAGAGCTACCCTCCTCTTCTCCCCATCTTTTTTTTTGAGGGAGGCAATCTATACTCTTCGTTCGCCATTGATCCTTGGTCCTACCGGCGTCCCTACTTCGAGGAGACGTTCGGTATCCGCCGACATCTCAATGAGGAACAGGTTTATCTGCATCGAGATTCCCTGGTGCTTCGTTCGTCCTTGGTCCTTGGTCCTACCGGCGTCCTTACTTCGAGGAGACGTTCGCTATCCGTAGACATCGCAAGGAGGAACAGGTTTATCTACGTCGAGATTCCTTTCTTTAACGGTCGTTGGCCAGAACAGAAGTGATGAATAATAGGGGGCCTTATTATTGACGATGTCCGGTCATTTTACATGGGAGTGGAAATAAAACAAGGACAACAACCTCTAACTATTGATAGAACTTCTTCAGGTGTTCTACGTTCCACATCCCGGCATGGTTCCCCTCCAGGGTATGGAGGAGGAAAGTCCCCTGGTTGTATCTTCTGATGACCTGGTAAGGTCCTTCCCAGTTCTTCGCCATTTTGCCACCTTCGAGCGGCTTGCTCTTCTCTCTTTTCCTGAGTACGTGGTCCCCGGCCTCTATTTCGCGGAATTTCACGGCCTTGTTGAAGTATCTCTGGGTGGCCCTGTGATACTCTTCCATGCGTCGAGCCGCTAGGTCCCTGATCGGTGTATTTTTTTTGTGAAGTAAAACGTAGTTGGCTAATCCGAAGAATAACCAGACCACGAGTATCGTCTCTCAAGGAGTGGCAAAAAGGAAGTTTTTAGATACAGTCCGTGATCACAGGCTAGCACAAGTCATGGTAATCTTTCCGAATAAATATTTTTGGGTGGTTTTTTAAAAAAATTACTAACAGCGAGTGCAAAAAAATAAATATAGTATGAAAAAAAAAATTAAACTGATTCTAGATATTAAAACAGGGTTCGAATTGGATGGTTCGGGTTCTGGGTGTTCTTTCCGGATTAGAATTAAGTAAATTAATTTTCAATTATTCCTGGAAAGAAAATGAATTAAATTCTCATAGACAAGAATTAAAACATATTTTCACAATCCTAACTTATTTCTAAGGTTAGATTGCTTGTATAAGATTTGAGCTAATTTAACTCAATTTCTCATAGACAAGAACTGAATTAAATCCAGTCATTCATATATGAGGTGATCAAATTCATATAGACAATTATAATTAATCTCATACAATTTTCCAGAAAATTAATTAAATTTCAAAAACTAAATTCACACCTTCAAGAACCCATGAACCCTAGCCCCAATTCAAACCCTATAGGAAATTAGCTTCTCATAATTAAAATTAACATCACAATCATATTGATAAGCATGATAAGGGCTAGAAAAATTGAAGTAGAATAATTCTCTGGGAAATTCTTAATTATCAACTACAGAAAAACATCTTCGAAAGTTAATTCAAAACTGAAACTAAGTAATGTAAAATATGTTTGACTTACAATGAATGTTTGAAATCTAAATTAACTTGGAGAAAATTGAAAGAGGAGTGCAGTTTAGAAACCGTTCTGATTTTCTTTCTTGCTGGTGCGGCTGATTCACCAAGGACAGAACGCAAGAATGGAAATAAACTCTGCTGCGGCTAATTGATTTCAGGAACAGAAAGAATCGTAGAGCATGCTGCGGCTAACTTAAAAAAAAATGAAAAGGAAAGAATGAATGAATGTGCGGCTGCCAGTTCCAGGGAAAAACCCAGCTGATCCTTTTTTTTCTTTTTCTTTTGGGCTGCTAACATTGCTTCTTCTTTTGTCATTTTGGATTGCACTTAACTTCAAAAACAGTCCTTAAATGATCTGGTCCAAACATATTCACCGCAAACTCGGCCTGTACAATAACAACTCACCACACCCGCTAATAATATGTAACTTTACAATCAAATTACTCCAAAAATGTCAAATTGTGTAGAAAAAATACTATTTCCAATATGACTGCCACCGGGACCGAAAAATAGCAAATTTTCACTCAAACCCCCCAATAGTCACTCGGTTAATTATAAAAATAAAAAAATTAACACCCAAATATGGGTGAAAAGATAGGAACGGAACGAGCCTATCAAATCTCCCCACACTTGAGCGTTGCTTGCCCCCAAGCAACAATGCATTAAACCCACGGAAAACAAAATAATCACATGTAACACCTGGTTCAAAAATCATTCACACCCAAAACAAATGACTGCACAAGGTCTTTTCTTTCTTAACAACGAAACCAAGATTCACATGTTGAACAATATTTTCAAAAGTAAAATCCCTCTCCAACCGACTAAAATGTAAAGAAAAGCATGATGGTCCCAACGGTGCAGGTGTGTGAAATCCAAACCACCAATCATTCCAAAAAAAACCCAAGAATTGTGTGATAAAACTCGGAATACTCGTGATTCTTTTTTTTTTTTTTTTGAATATGTAAAGTTGACCAGGTTCTGGATTGCAGGACTGATTCAAGCTCTAGGGCCTGGGAGTTTATCTCATTACTGTGTACTCAACTCTCACACAAGGTGATTCGTGAGATGAGCAGAGCCCCATTTCGGGGATGAAATTCTCGACACACGAAGTGTAACCCCATTACAAGAATCAGTTGCCTACTTAGCATGAAGTTATCCCGATATGCTTAGAAAGCAGAGCTCCTTACGGAGTAAGGATTTTCAACACCTGGCCAGTCAAGGAATTATTAATGCGAACTAGTGAATCACGAGTAAAAACCGAATTTAATCAACACAAATCAAACCATCCAACATGCCAACATTTCCCAAGAATATACACACCACTCCGATGATTACACCATTACTAATTCTTTCCAAGAAAGATGGAGGAGATGGAAGATTACAAAAGAAAATAAAGATTAACAAGTTACCTCTGTTGCGTTGCTAAACCAGAAAAATCCTCGTGCACTCCAAAATGTTTTTGGACAGAATAACTTCATCACCAAATGTCATGTCCAAGCTAAAACCAAACCAATCTCCCCACACTTAGGGGTGACATCGCCCTCGAGGTCAAAGAAGATTAAAACAGAAATAATAGGGGCAAGTTAAAGAATAAAAATGATTTTCATCCCGGCAGTACATCATAGTCAGAATAATAACAATCAACACAAATCAACAAAGGAGTAATATGAGAGTAAATACACATTCTTAACAGCGTAGTAAAAGTTGGCAGATTACCGTACAAGACAAGCGGCAGTGAATAACCTCCAGAAAAACTTTGAATAACCTTGAATCTCTGCGATTGATAGCTCTTGGATCTCGTTTGCATTTGAGGGCTCTATGACTCTGGTGATGGGAAGTCCAGGTGGTGTGCATCAAATCCCTCAACTTCTGAGTAAACATAGTAAAGGCTGCTGTACTAGGGGCTGCACATATTGAGTTTCTGGTGACATGGATGCACTTTTGGTATTGATCTCAGTTTGCTCGTTCATGCCGGCTAGAAAAACTCTTCTCTAGCTTAGGTCTCAATGCTAGAAGGATAAAGCTGGACAGTTCGTCCTCTGAAGTGTGGTGACCCGAGGCCTAATTTGAAGTGTGGACTGCTGCCCTGAACTTGCTCGCGTTCTGGCTGCGCTCTGCTATCAAAATCTTGTCCCACCAGAACACCCAGAATAGCTATTGGACGTCTCATCGCTCTTGTCCTCAAAAGTAAATGCTTTGCTCTCATATCACTCATGGACCTTCTGTTAAGTACACCAACTGGCAGCCCTTGGGAGGCTCCTCTACATAGGGCTGCGCTTCTTCCACCAGCAGTCCAAGATCTCCATGTCGTACCTGTAATTCAGAGCAAAGAAATCCACAACCACAAGATGAAAACATAAAACAACATAAACAAAAGTGCAAAAGAAAACAAAAACTCCTAATTCTATTTTTTTTATGGTGGGTTGCCTCCCAGAAGCGCTTCTTTAACGTCACTAGCTTGACGATAGATCATGCTTAGCCGCTAATCTCCTTAAGATAAAGGACCTCCCTTTCAGTGCTCACTTTCTCGCCATAATAGAGCTTCACTTGATGACCATTAACCTTAAAGTTTCCCCTTTCAGGATCATGCAACTCAATGGAGCCATACGGATAGATCTCAGTCACTGTAAATGGCCCTGACCATCTGGAACGCAGTTTCCCAGGGAACAACTTCAACCTAGAATTATACAACAGCACCTGATCTCCAACTTTAAACTCGCGGGACTGCTTGATGTGCCTATCATGATATTGCTTCACTCGCTCCTTATACAAATGGTTGTTGTGGAAGGCCATAGCACGCCACTCTTCAAGCTCATTCAGCTGATAAAATCTCTCCTTTCCAGCTCCTTCAAGGTCAAATACAACATTCTTCAGAGCCCAAAATGCCTTATGCTCGACCTCCACTGGAAGATGGCATGATTTTCCATAAACCAACCTGAATGGTGTGGCGCCAACAGGAGTCTTATATGCTGTTCGAATAGCCCACAAAGCATCATCAAGCTTTTCTGCCCAGTCCTTTCTTGACCGACCAACTGTCTTTTCCAATACTGCCTTGATTTCTCTATTTGAATTTTCAACCTGACCTTGAGACTGGGGATGGTAGGCCACTCCGCTTCTGTGTTGAACACCATATCGCTGAAGGATACGGGCCATAGGGTCACTTCTGAAATGGCTGCCCCTATCACTGATCAAGATTCTGGGAACACCAAATCGTGCAAATAACTTCTTTAAGAATCGGACAACCACCTTTGTGTCATTCGTGGAACATGCTTGGGCCTCCACCCACTTGGACACATAATCAACAGCAACTATTATGAACTTGTTCCCTTTCGAACTCGGGAAAGGGCCCATGAAATCAATTCCCCACACATCGAACACTTCGCATGGCAAAATATAGTGTTGTGGCATCTCATCCCTCTGGGATATGTTCCCAGTCCTCTGGCACTGATCACAAGCTGAAGCATGAGCATGAGCATCCTTAAAAATGGTGGGCCAATAGAATCCACAATCAAGAACTTTCCTGGCAGTCCTCTCTCCTGAGAAGTGACCTCCTGTGGGTCCAGTATGACAATGCATTAGAATCTCCTTTCCTTCTTGTTCAGGTACACATCTTCTCACAACTTGGTCAGCACAAATTTTGAACAGGTATGGATCATCCCAGAAGTAATGCTTGGCGTCAGACTTCAGTCTCTTAATCATGTGGCGAGACATCCCGGCAGGTTCAACTTTGCCCACAAGAAAGTTAGCGAGATCTGCATACCAAGGCATCTTTGAACTGTGCTGAATGGCTAGAAGCCTCTCATCTGGAAAAGTCTCTTCAAGCTCAAACTTTTTGAATGTCTCCACCACTTCAGTCTCTAGTCTAGATAGATGATCTGCTGCTTGGTTAGCGGTCCCCTTTCGGTCTTTGATCTCCACATAGAATTCCTGCAACAAAAGAATCCAGCGGAGAAGTCTAGGCCTTGCATCATTCTTCTGAAGTAAATACCTCAAAGCCGCATGGTCAGTGAAGACAATTACCTTAGAAAGAATGATGTAGGGTCTAAATTTCTCCAAAGCAAACACAATAGCCAAAAACTCTTTTTCAGTAGTAGTATAATTGAGCTGAGGCCCCGCTAAAGTCTTACTGGCATAGTAGATAGGGCGAAAGTGCTTATCCTTGGTTTGACCCAGGATAGCCCCAACCACTTGATCGCTAGCATCACACATTATCTCGAAAGGTAAAGACCAATCGGGTGTAGCAAGAATGGGAGCCTCAGTCAATTTCCTTTTCAAAGTATCAAAAGCAACAACACAATCAGGTGAAAAATCAAAAGGTACATCTTTCCCTAAAAGATTAGTCAAAGGTCGGGCAATCTTAGAGAAATCCTGTATAAACCGGCGGTAAAAACCAGCGTGCCCAAGAAAGCTACGGATGGCTTTTACTGTGGTTGGATACGGAAGTTTCTCTATAGCCTCAACCTTCGCCTTATCAACCTCAATTCCCTTTTCAGAAACCTTATGCCCTAAAACAATGCCCTCCCTGACCATAAAGTGGCATTTCTCCCAACTTAAGGCCAAGTGGGTCTCCTCACATCTAGCAAGCACCCTGTCAAGGTTAGTTAAGCAAGAGTCAAAAGTATCACCGAACACAGAAAAATCATCCATAAATACTTCCATGAAATCTCCAATAAACCTGTCAAAAATGGCTAGCATACAACGCATAAATGTAGCAGGAGCATTACACAAACCGAAGGGCATCCTACGGAAAGCAAAAGTGCCAAAGGGACAAGTAAAGGTGGTCTTCTCCTGATCTCTAGGGTCTACATGAATCTGAAAGTACCCACTCATCCCATCTAAGAAACAATAATACCCGTGCCCTGCTAAATTCTCAACTAACTGATCAATAAATGGCAAAGGGAAGTGGTCTTTCCGAGTGGCATCATTTAGTTTTCGGTAATCAATCACCATCCGCCACCCTGACACAATGCGAGTAGGTATTAACTCCCCTTTGTCATTCTCAACAGCAGTCATTCCCCCTTTCTTAGGAACCATATGAATAGGACTCACCCAACTACTATCAGAAATTGGGTATATAATGTCTGCATCTAAAAGCCTCAAAATCTCGGTTCTCACAACCTCCATCAAATTAGGGTTCAACCTGCGCAGTGGTTGCACTGTCGGGCTGAACCCTTCCTCAATGCTAATCCTATGTGTGCAAAAGGTAGGATCGATCCCCTTAATATCCCCTAACGTGCGGGCAATGGCCCCTTCACGCCGCCTAAGCAAGGACACAACCTTATCTTTTTCATCTCTCTCTAAATCAGAAGCAATGATAATGGGGTGTTTGCCCTCATCATCCAATGAAGCGTATTGTAGGTGTTCTGGGAGCCTTTTAAGCTCAGAAAACTGCTCACATGGGGGTGTATCAACAACAGTACTACCTGAAACCTCTTGAGAGGCTTCTCCTAGCAAATCATCAACAGAGCATTTAAGTTCATGAGATAACATTTCATCATCACACATACCCACATCTAAGACCTCACCACATGCAGTATCATCAGAATAATCACTCTCACCCTGGCCCCCAAATAAATAATCCTCAATGCACTCATACATATGAAGAAAATTACAGCTCTCAGTTTGTGCCTCGGGGTGGTTCATAACTTCTGAGAGTCGAAAAGTACAAGTGTCCTCTCCAATTCTCAGAGTCAATGAACCATCAGACACATCAATAACAGCACGGGCAGTGGCCAAGAAAGGCCGCCCCAAAATAAGAGGGGTACCACGATCCTCCTCTATATCCATAACGACAAAGTCTACAGGAAAAATAAACTCACCAACCCTGACTAGGACGTCCTCAATAATACCACTTGGGTACTTAACAGAGCGATCAGCTAATTGAAGACACATCCTAGTGGGTTTCATTCCACCCAGTCCCAACTTATTAACAAGAGAAGCTGGCATCAAGTTGATGCTGGCTCCTAGATCAGCTAGTGCATTTTTAAAAACATAATCATGAATAGAACAAGGTATGGTGAAAGAACCTGGATCCTTGAGCTTTTCCGGCATCATTTTTGTCACCACAGCTGAACACTCAGCATTTAGGTCAACCACAGAGTACTCCTCCAGCCTCTTTTTGTTGGTGATTAAGTCCTTCAGGAACTTTGCATATTTAGGCATCTCCGCAAGTACTTCTGTGAGTGGCATCTCCACATGTAGTTTGCTAATCATCTCCATAAACTTGTATTCTCTCTTGCGGTCCTCGCCCTTCTTGACACGAGTAGGGAATGGAACAACTGGTGCATTAGCCCTCTTGGTCTCTTGTTGGGGTGTATTCTGCTCGATGATTGCTTTACCCTCTCGCTGGCCTGGCTGGTCAGAATTGAACTTTAGCTCACCTTCAGATTGTCTTTGAAAAGGTTCTGGGCTTTCTAGCTCTGCACTCTTTCTTGGACAGCTAGGAACACTCTGGGCTTGGCTCTCTTTGGCATCCACCATTGGTTCACGAACTTGCTTCCCACTGCGCAGATTTATTGCATTCACATGCTCTCTTGGGTTTGGCTCTGTAGTGCTGGGAAGGCTTCCAGACTGCCTCCCGGAAGGACCTGCAAAGAATCTGTTCTCTAGTTCCCGTATTCGCTGCTCATGTTGCAGCTCAAGGTTCCTCAACCGCTGCTCCATCAAAATCTTTTCCTCTCTTGCTCTTTTATCTCTTAATTCATTTTCTTCTCTAGCCCGTGTCAGCTCTGCAAGCACCAAATCTAGTTGGGAATGAGCTGAAGTATCTTGTTGTCTGATATGTGGGGGCACATAAGGCTGGTTGCTACCACTTCCTTGGCCTCGTTGGTATCCACCTTGGCGGTTATTATCTCTCCACTGGTTTGCACCACTCTGAAAATTATTCCTCTGGTTGTTGTAGCCAGCAAAGTTACCCCGGTTTCCTTGGTATTGAGGTGCCAGTGGACCCTCTCCTTTCTTAGCATACTCCATAAGATTCACTTCCTGAGGTGGAATAGGCTCTTCAAAGGATTGAGGACATGAATTGGTCAGGTGGGCTCCAAAACAATGATCACACGAAAGCACCATGTCTCTCACTGGATTCTGGTTTGGCATTTGTCGAAAACTCCTCTGGTTCATCCCCTGGCCACCTTGGTATTGGTTCTGCGCCTGAGCTTCATAGAGTTTCTCAAACTTTAGGACAAGAGCATCCAGTTTTGCGGCAGCAGCTGTACTAGAATCAACCTCATATAATCCCGCCTTTTGTGGAGCTCTTTCACTTCGTTCATCATACCAGTACCTCTCATTTGAGGTAATAGTCTCTATCAGTTCTTCACCTTCTTCTGATGTCAGCCGTAGGATTGAACCTGTTTTAGAAGAGTAATCCAACTCCTTTTTGCTCTCAATGGACAGCCCATTATAGAAGTGAAATATGGTGTCCATGCTCTCCATGATGTTGGATGGACAGTTAATTCGGAGCTCCTTGTACCGCTCCCAAGCCTCACTCAATGTCTCATTCCTCCCTTGCCTAAAGTTCTGGAGAGCTGCCTTGGCTTTGATTCCTGCAGATGCTGGGCAGTACTGTTTCATGAAAGCTTGGTATAATTCATCCCAGGTGGCAAAAGTGTGGCTATCGAGCCAGTGTTGCGCCTTGTCCCTTAGAGTGAATGGGAACAAAAGTAATTTGTTAGCTGCTTCAGAAACTCCATTGATTCGCGAGGTCCGACAAAGACGATTGAACCAACGCATATGTGTTTGGGCGTCTTCATGTCTCATCCCTCCGAACTGGTTACTCTGAGCTAGATTGATTAATCCGGGGGATAGTTGGTAATTTGCAGCTTCAATGCCCGGCATGGTTATTCCGTCAACCTCTGCAAATTGTGGAGTAATTTGTTCATACATTGTCCTCCTTGCGAGCTGTTGTTCTCCGGCCATGTTTCTTGACCTTCCTTCTCTTCTTCTCAAAATACTCTCGGGGTTTGGATTCAATGGGATCAAGCCTTCAGTTCCCCGAGCACGTGTGTGCATACACCGGTTCCTGCAGCTTAGTTCACGTGCAAAGAACACCAAAAACGACAAACAAATAACAGGAAAAAAAATAGAAAGTCTCACCGACTTGCTTTTACCTATTCCACAGAAAAGTACTTAACAAACAACCGTGCCACTCCCCGGCAACGGCGCCATTTGATCGGTGTATTTTTTTTGTGAAGTAAAACGTAGTTGGCTAATCCGAAGAATAACCAGACCACGAGTATCGTCTCTCAAGGAGTGGCAAAAAGGAAGTTTTTAGATACAGTCCGTGATCACAGGCTAGCACAAGTCATGGTAATCTTTCCGAATAAATATTTTTGGGTGGTTTTTTAAAAAAATTACTAACAGCGAGTGCAAAAAAATAAATATAGTATGAAAAAAAAAATTAAACTGATTCTAGATATTAAAACAGGGTTCGAATTGGATGGTTCGGGTTCTGGGTGTTCTTTCCGGATTAGAATTAAGTAAATTAATTTTCAATTATTCCTGGAAAGAAAATGAATTAAATTCTCATAGACAAGAATTAAAACATATTTTCACAATCCTAACTTATTTCTAAGGTTAGATTGCTTGTATAAGATTTGAGCTAATTTAACTCAATTTCTCATAGACAAGAACTGAATTAAATCCAGTCATTCATATATGAGGTGATCAAATTCATATAGACAATTATAATTAATCTCATACAATTTTCCAGAAAATTAATTAAATTTCAAAAACTAAATTCACACCTTCAAGAACCCATGAACCCTAGCCCCAATTCAAACCCTATAGGAAATTAGCTTCTCATAATTAAAATTAACATCACAATCATATTGATAAGCATGATAAGGGCTAGAAAAATTGAAGTAGAATAATTCTCTGGGAAATTCTTAATTATCAACTACAGAAAAACATCTTCGAAAGTTAATTCAAAACTGAAACTAAGTAATGTAAAATATGTTTGACTTACAATGAATGTTTGAAATCTAAATTAACTTGGAGAAAATTGAAAGAGGAGTGCAGTTTAGAAACCGTTCTGATTTTCTTTCTTGCTGGTGCGGCTGATTCACCAAGGACAGAACGCAAGAATGGAAATAAACTCTGCTGCGGCTAATTGATTTCAGGAACAGAAAGAATCGTAGAGCATGCTGCGGCTAACTTAAAAAAAAATGAAAAGGAAAGAATGAATGAATGTGCGGCTGCCAGTTCCAGGGAAAAACCCAGCTGATCCTTTTTTTTCTTTTTCTTTTGGGCTGCTAACATTGCTTCTTCTTTTGTCATTTTGGATTGCACTTAACTTCAAAAACAGTCCTTAAATGATCTGGTCCAAACATATTCACCGCAAACTCGGCCTGTACAATAACAACTCACCACACCCGCTAATAATATGTAACTTTACAATCAAATTACTCCAAAAATGTCAAATTGTGTAGAAAAAATACTATTTCCAATATGACTGCCACCGGGACCGAAAAATAGCAAATTTTCACTCAAACCCCCCAATAGTCACTCGGTTAATTATAAAAATAAAAAAATTAACACCCAAATATGGGTGAAAAGATAGGAACGGAACGAGCCTATCGGTCCCTCCGTTCCTCAATGAAATGGAGCTCCGCTCGTAGGTTGGTCTCGTTGTCCTCCGGCCGGAAGTGCTTGGTGCGATGTGTAGGTACCAACACCTCCGTCGGCACCTTAGCTTGGAATCCGTAAGCCAAGGCAAAAGGGGTTTCCCCGGTCGCCGTTCTTGGCGTCGTCCTGTACGTCCACAAGACATAATTCAGCTGCTCCGTCCAGGTGGAGGTGTAGTCTTCCAACTTCTTCTTGATCCCATCCATGATGGTCCGGTTCATGTTCACCACCTGGCCGTTGGCCTGCGGGTAGGCCACCGAGGCCTTAGAGTGCCTGATGCCCCACTTTGCCAAGTATGCCTCAAATCCTCTACCGACGAACTGCCGGCCGTTGTCGGTGACGATCTGCTCCGGGATCCCGAAGCGGCATATGACGTTTTGCCAGACGAACTTCTGGCACTGGAATTCAGTGATGGAGGCGAGTGGTTCGGCCTCCACCCACTTTGTGAAATAATCAATCGCCACAATGACGAATTTCCTTCCCCCGGCGGCCGTCGGCAGAGGGCCCAGCAAATCTATGCCCCACCTAGCAAAGGGTAGTGCGATGGTCATCGGGGTGTAGAAGCTCGCCGGACGTCCAGGGACAGGCGCATACTGTTGGCACACCGCGCACTTCCGAGTGTGGTTGAAGCAATCTTGCTGTATGGTTGGCCAATAATAGCCCTGCAGGATGATTTTTCTGGCCAAGGTTCGGGGCCCTTGGTGGCTGGAACAGATCCCTTCATGTATCTCTTCAATCACTGCTGCTGCTAGGCTCGGCGGGAGGCACCTGAGGTAAGGTCCGCCGAGCGTCTTCTTATAGAGTTGCCCATCAATGAGTTCAAAGTTAGGGGCACACCTCTTTACCCATGCAGCTCTTCTTGTGCTGCCCTCCTCGTCGGGTTCCGGGAGTGTTCCATCTCTGAGGTAATCTGCTATCTCCTTCGCCCAGTTAGGTTCGGCGATGGAGATAACCTCTACCTGGATGACGTCCGTCGCCGGTGCTGGGAACACTTCCTGCCTGACGAAGCCTCTGATGTGGCGGGGGATGCTTGACGCCGGATCATCAGTTGGGGGGTTGCTTAGCTTTGATAGTATGTCCGCCTCTGCATTTTCCACCCGTGATACCTGCTCAAGGATCACCTGCTCGAACTGAGCGGTCTGTTCCTCCGCTAACTCCCTGTAAACCTTCATCTTTTCCTCCCTGGTTTCTGCAGTGCCGTTCATCTGGGTTACCACCAGCTGGCTGTCCATCCTCACCTTCAGACGAGCTGCTCCGAGGGCTTTTGCGCATTTCAGCCCTGCGATAAGCGCCTCGTACTCAGCCTCGTTGTTGGTGACCTTGAACTCAAATTTCATAGAGTAGTAGGCTTTGAAACCCTTGGGGGAAGTGATCACCGCTCCTCCGCCACAGCCCCGCGCACTCGAGGCTCCATCGGTGTACATCTCCCACCAATTGTCAAAGTCGTTGCTGTCATGGGATTCGTCCTCGGTGCGCGCGGTGCATTCCGCAATGAAGTCCGCCAGAGCCTGTCCTTTGATCGTCGGCCTTGGCTTGAAGTCCACGTCATACTGGCCGATCATCAAGGACCACTTGGTTATCCTCCCGCTTGCCATTGGGTTCCTGAGGACTGTGGCGAGGGGCTGCGTCGTGTAGATGGTCACCGGGTGTGCTTGGAAATACGGCGCCAGGCGCTTGATGGATGCAATCAAGGCGAGGATCGTCTTTTCAATCAGTGTGTACCTTGTCTCGGGACCGTTCAGCGCCTTACTTACAAAATATATTGGCCGCTGAACGCCTTCAGATTCCTTCAGCAGCACGGCACTTACGGCCAGATCGGCTACTGCCAAGTACATGTACAATCTCTCCCCGGGATCCGCTTTGGTGAGGACGAGCGGAGAGGAGAGATATACCTTGAAATCTTCGAAAGCAGCCTGGCACTCCGGGGTCCATTGAAAGGGATTGGCCTTCTTCATGATCTGGAAAAAGGGAATCGCCTTATCAGCCAGCTTGGATAAGAATCTGCTCAGGGCTGCCAGACGCCCGGTGAGTCGCTGCACGTCTTTTAGGTTCTTTGGGGCCTCCATGTCCATGATTGCCTTCACCTTCTCCGGGTTAGGCTCGATCCCCCGCTCGCTCATCATGTAGCCGAGGAACTTGCCGCCCCTGACGGCGAAGGCACACTTTTTTGGATTGAGCCTCATGCTTGCCCTTTCCATGATGCTGAAGACCCTCTCCATGTCCTGGACATGGTCCTCCTTTTTCTTACTCTTGATCAGGATGTCATCCACGTAAGCTTCCATTGTTTTCCCAAGTACGTCCTTGAACAACATCCCAATCATCCTCTGAAAAGTAGCCATGGCGTTCCTCAGGCCGAACGGCATGACGATGTAGCAGTACACGCCGTCCGCCGTGACGAACGCCGTTTTTTTCGGCATCATCGGGGTGCATGAACACCTGATGGTAGCCTCTGAATGCGTCCATGAAGCTGAGCAGCTCGCAGCCTGCTGTCTCATCTACCAGCAAGTCGATCCTCGGGACAGGGTAAGGGTCCATCGGACAAGCTTTGTTGAGGTCCGAGTAATCGACGCACATCCGCCAAGTGTCGCCCTTTGGGGCTAGTACCACGTTGGCCAACCACTCCACGTGGATGACCGGCCGGATATGTTTGATGCTGAGGAGAGTTGCTGTCTCCCTCCGGATGAAATCGCGTCGGTCGGCCGCCATATATCTTTTCTTCTGTTGTATATGTCACGCCCCAGACCGCGTCTGTGCCACGTGGACAACCGTCGTACAACCCAATAAGAATAACCGCAGTTCATCCTTACCGAATTGCACAAGACGTCCGATAGATACATATGCCAAAACCGATTAGTAAACATACATAACAACATCAACATACAATTCAACACATCGCGGAATATAAGTGTTTAATAAGAACCCACACAAGGGTAAAACAAGAGCTCGCAGGCTCCATTAATTTATAAGTCAAAATAGTTCCATGAGCATTATTTAATTATTTAGAAATAGAACCAGAGGAAGCACGAACCACGTCTTCTCTCCATCGATCTCCCGAGCAACGGGTGCAGGAAGTAAGCTCTAGCTTCAACCTGAAAGGGTGGTTCCCCCGAGGGATCAGTACTACAGAAAAGTACTGGTGAGGGCAAACTGTATGTAATGTAACTAACGTTTCTCACGTGAGACCCTCAAAATAGGGTGATAGTATAATTATGGGCATAACTCTTAGCTACCCCTTTTTAAAACAAAATGTATACATATATACCTATGAGTAAAATATCCGGCCCGTGGGCCCATTTGTCCTTCAAATCATTTAGGCGTAACAGCCTCATTAAATTCACCCTTCCCATGTCTTACCCTCGAGTGGAGTCACCCGCAGGCTGACTCACCCGATATCAAAATATAATTACTGTGGGGGCCCTTCGGACTCCCATATCACGGACATGGTTTAAATCAATTCCTAGACCAAGGAAAATATCCTATCGGAAACTCATTCCCGATCAAGCACGTTTAATCATTTAAAATCATTACCTTGAGGTTCACCTACCTCGAGGACTATCCGTCCTTACAATCATAGTTTACATTCCCGGGGCTAACCCCGCCTTGAGGAGTACGCATACACCCTCATCCTACGTGTAATTTGCTGGAGGTTAACACACCTCAAGGACTACACGGGCCCTTGTTACCTATGTGCAATTTGATGGAGGATACCACACCTCAAGGACTGCACTTGCCCTTGTTACCTATGTGTAATTTGCTGGAGGATACCACACCTCAAGGACTACACGGGCCCTTGTTACCTATATGCAATTTGATGGAGGATACCACACCTCAAGGACTGCATTTGCCCTTGTTACCTATGTGTAATTTGCTGGAGGTTAACACACCTCAAGGACTACACGGGCCCTTGTTACCTATATGCAATTTGATGGAGGATACCACACCTCAAGGACTGCATTTGCCCTTGTTAACTATGTGTAATTTGCTGGAGGTTAACACACCTCAAGGACTACACGGGCCCTTGTTACCTATATGCAATTTGATGGAGGATACCACACCTCAAGGACTGCATTTGCCCTTGTTAACTATGTGTAATTTGCTGGAGGTTAACACACCTCAAGGACTACACGGGCCCTTGTTATCATTTGAGTATAGAGGACTCCTCCTGGTCCTACAGAGTTTTACCCAACCTTACTCGGTCCCGGGTATTCACCCGCCATGTATAATCTACCACTTACCTCGCCCGGTCGTGGTCTATAAATTCTTCTACTAATGACTAGTCCAAGTCTTAGCGTTTAAACCGTATTTGAAGCCTTAGCAACCAATGTGGACGGGTCCCACCCGATCGTCCCACATAAACTCACTCAAAAACTGCATATTGGGTGTATAACCCAATACCCGGTCGGGTATTACCCATACCCGGTCGGGTATTACCCATACCCGGTCGGGTATGGTGAGGCAGTAGCCCCTGGAACCATTTCTAATTAATACCCGGTCGGGTATTTACCCATACCCGGTCGGGTATGGTGAGGCAGTAGCCTCTGGAACTGATTTTAGCTAATACCCGGTCGGGTATTTACTTATACCCGGTCGGGTATAGCCTTTGACTTGACGGTCAACGCCCGTTTGACCGCACAAACGAAGTCCGATTTACGTGAAATTTTATACACATGTACTTCTTGACTTCCTTAATCCAAAAATACCTTTTTGGGTCCTTGGAACATCATACATAATTAATTATCACATTTTAAATCATCAAGCTTACTTAACATGCCTTTCAACTATATTTTTACATATAATCATGGCATAACACAAACTTGATTATCTTTAATCATTCAATAAAATATATTCTTGATTACTTTAGGTAATCTATGCCTCACTCAAAAGTTATGAAGCATAAAGCCGTCTTCTCACAACTATTAATAAGTACTTCATACTTATTAATCGTGTATATATTTCGTTCTAGTTTATTCTTCATAACTAGATTTAATTTAATGACATGTCTGATTATGTACTTGAATCCTTCAAGAATACCATCTTGAATCACCTTAGCCAAATCATCCATGATTATCCTTCATCAAAATATCAATAATTCTTTTACTCATTAATCATGCCATTTTCACATAACTTATACTCATTATAGCTAATCACATGTTTAACACTTTTAAACATTTCTATACATATTCACATACTAGATTACTCTAGTCATCTCATACATAGTCCATGTATGCATTTTTTTTATACATTTGACAATAATATATTCATGATTAATCCACAAATAAATCTCTTATTCATTAATCAAGTAATATTTCCATAATTCATATTCCCCATGACTAATCATGCATTTTAATCCATTTAATCATTCCTCAAATCATGATAAGGATTTTATTTAGGTAATCCCACGTTTGACCCAAGAGTTACAAGACACGTAGTCGTCCACTCACCTTGAAATGGCGCTAGCAAGCTTTTATCTTCTTTGTTTGAACTCCGGTGACTTTTGAATTTTCCGGCGAAAACTCCGGCGGCTCCGGCGACTTTCCGGCCACTCCTAGGTTCCTTGAGAAGTCTAGAATACCTTGGTAAAATTCCTAACAAGGTTTCACAACCAAAAGTGGTATAAACGTCAAAACCTTCCAAGAAGGTGTTTTCCGGTGAACCGGTCTTACTCCGGTCATAACTCCGTTCGTGGTTAAACTTAATCTTTCAAACCCTCATTCTACACCTCTAGAAGTGTAGAACAATTTTAAAAGTCTATCATATGATTTATAAAATCATATGAGATTAAAATGAAGGAGGAAAATACTAATGAAGTCATTACCTTAATTTTACTAAGTTTTTCTCTTCTTTTCCAAGCTTTTCTTCTTCCTTGAACCTCCTTCAAACATGAGCTCGGTTCATGGCTATGGAGGATGATATTTTCAGAGCTCCTCCTCCTCCTTGAGAGTGTGTGGCCGAATTTTTGGGAGTGGTTGGGTGAGATGATAAGCTTTTTGGCTTTGTTCTTCAATTATATGGGAAATGGTCCCATTGCACATTATGTTTGGTCCTTCCCCCATTTTCCTTTGTCTCACAGCCCCAACATGAGTCAATCCAGAGTTATTTGATTGACAAAATCGTGGGGTGGTCCCCACCCATGTGGGAGGTCATCCCTTTAAGTCCCGAAGTGTACATTCGGCCCCGAAAGTTGTATTTTCTGGACTGTTTTAATTAAATTTCATTTTATCGGGTCAAATAAAATATATATCATTCTTCCAATTAATATTGGCCTTTAGAATGAATATATATTATCCCACTTTAATTTCGTGGTCGCCGAAATTAATTTCGGGCTGTTATCTGTTTAATTACCTATACCGGTAATGGGACCTCGTTTGATCGAAAGGCCAACTTTATGGCTCAATTTATTTACAACCTCATATAAATATTATCTAGACCAAGATGAATATAATATTTGGTCCGTAAATATCGGATGGTCGTCACTCACGTGTGGGCCCAACGTGTATTTTACTGTTCAAGTAACAGTAAAAATGAGAACGCGTCATCTCGTAAATTCATTAGCAATTTCTCATGACTCAATATGTGTATTGATATTTTGTGACATTTTAATAAAATGCTACACATCTTTTTAAGTGATCCCAAATGTAAAAACAGATAAAATCTTATCTGTTTGTTCCCAAAATAAAATATCTTTAAGGTAGGGTCCTCCAAAAGTACCATCCTTTAATATACCAAGTTAATCAATATTATTCATCCCATTATTTTGGTTTCTTAGAATGTTTATATTTCTTCTGTTATAAATTCGTAGTCCTACGAATTATTGACAGTCCGATAATTAAGGACTCCCCACTATCGAATAGTGGCCCTGGCCCGCTCGGCCGTCCAGTTGTCGCTCTTTATAACAATGGGGTCCACGACCCATTCCTACTATCATAATAGTATCGTTTTGGAAAATAGTAATATTTTATAAACTTGAAATACCACGTGTGGTCCTACGTCTAAATTAATAACCCTTTATTAATTTAGGACAAAATTTTACTTTCTCATTTATCGAGACTACTCTTAGTCTTGATTTACCTTCTTTAACCAAGTACTTTACGAAAAAATTTTATCTGGGTAAAATTCGGGTCCGGTGTTACAAGTTCACCCCCCCTTACAGGAATTTCGTCCCCGAAATTAACGTCTGAACCTTGAGAAACATTTCTCCCCTCATTATCTGAGGCTAACAATTTTGAACATAAAAAAATATTTATGGAAATTTCGAATAGGAATTCATAACATAAAAATATCTTATGTTATAGTCGGGTCCAACTAATGGCTTTCGCCATTCCCGGCCTTCATGGGCGAGTTTGCCATTGACTTGTAGAAGGTACGATATTTGAGGCAACTCTACTTGGGTTTTCAACCCCCGTGACCCCTCCTCTAGCTCCTAATGTTCCTTCACGCGTACGTTGAGGACAAAGGACCTTGATGTGGCCTGTTTCTCCACAAAAGTAACATCTAGATGGATCTCGACATCTCCCGTAGTGCCTTCGCCTACAATTCTCACACTTGGGTGCTCCCGTACCCCGAGTGCTTGAGCTTTGACTTACCAAGTCCTGGCTCTCACTAAAAAATGGAACTAACTTGTTAAAGTCCCCCTTGCTCTGAAGTTCATACTTCCTCTCTCGTCGTGGAGGGTGAATGATCACCTGATCTCTTTCTTGTGCTTCCTTAGCATCCCTTGCTTGCCTTTCCTCCCAAAGCTCCTCCCCCTGGAGACCCTGGGCTACTACTTGACTAAAAGTCATGTTGAATTGATAGGTCGCCCTTTCGCGTACCTCCAAATTCAGTGCATTCCAAAAATGGTTCGCCATTCGATCCTCATTGGCGGCATATTCAGGCAAGAACCTTGCCAAATGTCGGAACCTTTGTTCCAATTGCTTCACCGTAAACTCATTGCCCTGTTTGAGATTTGTATATTCCCTCCTCTTTCGATTAACTTCGAAAGAGGTATAAAACTGTTCATAGAATGATTGCTCGAAGTTGTCCCATGTGACAACTCCGTCAAACTTACCTTTGATGCCTTCCCACCAAGTAGAAGCTAAACCTTCCAACAATCTAGTGGCTACCCTTAACTTCCGATCAGGGACCACTTGCATGTCATCGGCTGCATCATTTAACCTTTTTATCCACTCGGCCGCTTCCGAGATATCCCCCGTCCCATCAAACGGTTTGCACCCCAAGGCCCTAGCCTCTTTGAGGTACTTTGAGATCTTAATGAATGGTCCTTCGCCATCAGAATCTCTGACTGTCCTAACATGTGCTCTATGAGCACCCCGACCCCTCCTGCGAGAGGTCTCGTCTCTGACATGTCCCACCTGGGATCTCTGTCGTTGTCTTTCCCTTTCACGCTGGTACCATTGGTACATCTCACTAATCTGGTCAGGAGGAATACTATGTATATCCTCTCCACTGTTTTCCTCAAAAGAAGTTTCATCTGACTTGCTATCAGGGTGATAAGTTGAGTCATCCTCCGAGTTCCACGACTCGAATTCAGTCATCATGCGATCAGCCATCGCACTTCGTGTTTGTTGGCCTTGGTGGCCCCTACCTCGCCTTTTTGGCGACCTTGATATTCCCCGATTGGCTTTCTCGGCTATTCCCAGTGTGCGCCCTCTCGGATTCCCTCGAATTGCCCTATCGCTACCACCCATTCCTGAAAGAATATATTGGAATGAGTCTTTGGACTCGTTTGAATGTCAATTGACAGAAACGTACTCAAGACACGACTTGGATCAAGTCACTGCCATACCAATTGTTAAGGGGCCCGTCTTAACAACCAGAGACCTTGCAACTCGATAACCAAATGCTCTTAAAGTACAAAACTTATGCTCATGGTTTTTCATTCAAAACTGTTTTGATAGAAACTCTGCTGAGAGGTTGACTATATAGTTTAGAAATCGTTTGGCTCTGATACCACTTAATTGTCACGCCCCAGACCGCGTCTGTGCCACGTGGACAACCGTCGTACAACCCAATAAGAATAACCGCAGTTCATCCTTACCGAATTGCACAAGACGTCCGATAGATACATATGCCAAAACCGATTAGTAAACATACATAACAACATCAACATACAATTCAACACATCGCGGAATATAAGTGTTTAATAAGAACCCACACAAGGGTAAAACAAGAGCTCGCAGGCTCCATTAATTTATAAGTCAAAATAGTTCCATGAGCATTATTTAATTATTTAGAAATAGAACCAGAGGAAGCACGAACCACGTCTTCTCTCCATCGATCTCCCGAGCAACGGGTGCAGGAAGTAAGCTCTAGCTTCAACCTGAAAGGGTGGTTCCCCCGAGGGATCAGTACTACAGAAAAGTACTGGTGAGGGCAAACTGTATGTAATGTAACTAACGTTTCTCACGTGAGACCCTCAAAATAGGGTGATAGTATAATTATGGGCATAACTCTTAGCTACCCCTTTTTAAAACAAAATGTATACATATATACCTATGAGTAAAATATCCGGCCCGTGGGCCCATTTGTCCTTCAAATCATTTAGGCGTAACAGCCTCATTAAATTCACCCTTCCCATGTCTTACCCTCGAGTGGAGTCACCCGCAGGCTGACTCACCCGATATCAAAATATAATTACTGTGGGGGCCCTTCGGACTCCCATATCACGGACATGGTTTAAATCAATTCCTAGACCAAGGAAAATATCCTATCGGAAACTCATTCCCGATCAAGCACGTTTAATCATTTAAAATCATTACCTTGAGGTTCACCTACCTCGAGGACTATCCGTCCTTACAATCATAGTTTACATTCCCGGGGCTAACCCCGCCTTGAGGAGTACGCATACACCCTCATCCTACGTGTAATTTGCTGGAGGTTAACACACCTCAAGGACTACACGGGCCCTTGTTACCTATGTGCAATTTGATGGAGGATACCACACCTCAAGGACTGCACTTGCCCTTGTTACCTATGTGTAATTTGCTGGAGGATACCACACCTCAAGGACTACACGGGCCCTTGTTACCTATATGCAATTTGATGGAGGATACCACACCTCAAGGACTGCATTTGCCCTTGTTACCTATGTGTAATTTGCTGGAGGTTAACACACCTCAATGACTACACGGGCCCTTGTTACCTATATGCAATTTGATGGAGGATACCACACCTCAAGGACTGCATTTGCCCTTGTTAACTATGTGTAATTTGCTGGAGGTTAACACACCTCAAGGACTACACGGGCCCTTGTTACCTATATGCAATTTGATGGAGGATACCACACCTCAAGGACTGCATTTGCCCTTGTTAACTATGTGTAATTTGCTGGAGGTTAACACACCTCAAGGACTACACGGGCCCTTGTTATCATTTGAGTATAGAGGACTCCTCCTGGTCCTACAGAGTTTTACCCAACCTTACTCGGTCCCGGGTATTCACCCGCCATGTATAATCTACCACTTACCTCGCCCGGTCGTGGTCTATAAATTCTTCTACTAATGACTAGTCCAAGTCTTAGCGTTTAAACCGTATTTGAAGCCTTAGCAACCAATGTGGACGGGTCCCACCCGATCGTCCCACATAAACTCACTCAAAAACTGCATATTGGGTGTATAACCCAATACCCGGTCGGGTATTACCCATACCCGGTCGGGTATTACCCATACCCGGTCGGGTATGGTGAGGCAGTAGCCCCTGGAACCATTTCTAATTAATACCCGGTCGGGTATTTACCCATACCCGGTCGGGTATGGTGAGGCAGTAGCCTCTGGAACTGATTTTAGCTAATACCCGGTCGGGTATTTACTTATACCCGGTCGGGTATAGCCTTTGACTTGACGGTCAACGCCCGTTTGACCGCACAAACGAAGTCCGATTTACGTGAAATTTTATACACATGTACTTCTTGACTTCCTTAATCCAAAAATACCTTTTTGGGTCCTTGGAACATCATACATAATTAATTATCACATTTTAAATCATCAAGCTTACTTAACATGCCTTTCAACTATATTTTTACATATAATCATGGCATAACACAAACTTGATTATCTTTAATCATTCAATAAAATATATTCTTGATTACTTTAGGTAATCTATGCCTCACTCAAAAGTTATGAAGCATAAAGCCGTCTTCTCACAACTATTAATAAGTACTTCATACTTATTAATCGTGTATATATTTCGTTCTAGTTTATTCTTCATAACTAGATTTAATTTAATGACATGTCTGATTATGTACTTGAATCCTTCAAGAATACCATCTTGAATCACCTTAGCCAAATCATCCATGATTATCCTTCATCAAAATATCAATAATTCTTTTACTCATTAATCATGCCATTTTCACATAACTTATACTCATTATAGCTAATCACATGTTTAACACTTTTAAACATTTCTATACATATTCACATACTAGATTACTCTAGTCATCTCATACATAGTCCATGTATGCATTTTTTTTATACATTTGACAATAATATATTCATGATTAATCCACAAATAAATCTCTTATTCATTAATCAAGTAATATTTCCATAATTCATATTCCCCATGACTAATCATGCATTTTAATCCATTTAATCATTCCTCAAATCATGATAAGGATTTTATTTAGGTAATCCCACGTTTGACCCAAGAGTTACAAGACACGTAGTCGTCCACTCACCTTGAAATGGCGCTAGCAAGCTTTTATCTTCTTTGTTTGAACTCCGGTGACTTTTGAATTTTCCGGCGAAAACTCCGGCGGCTCCGGCGACTTTCCGGCCACTCCTAGGTTCCTTGAGAAGTCTAGAATACCTTGGTAAAATTCCTAACAAGGTTTCACAACCAAAAGTGGTATAAACGTCAAAACCTTCCAAGAAGGTGTTTTCCGGTGAACCGGTCTTACTCCGGTCATAACTCCGTTCGTGGTTAAACTTAATCTTTCAAACCCTCATTCTACACCTCTAGAAGTGTAGAACAATTTTAAAAGTCTATCATATGATTTATAAAATCATATGAGATTAAAATGAAGGAGGAAAATACTAATGAAGTCATTACCTTAATTTTACTAAGTTTTTCTCTTCTTTTCCAAGCTTTTCTTCTTCCTTGAACCTCCTTCAAACATGAGCTCGGTTCATGGCTATGGAGGATGATATTTTCAGAGCTCCTCCTCCTCCTTGAGAGTGTGTGGCCGAATTTTTGGGAGTGGTTGGGTGAGATGATAAGCTTTTTGGCTTTGTTCTTCAATTATATGGGAAATGGTCCCATTGCACATTATGTTTGGTCCTTCCCCCATTTTCCTTTGTCTCACAGCCCCAACATGAGTCAATCCAGAGTTATTTGATTGACAAAATCGTGGGGTGGTCCCCACCCATGTGGGAGGTCATCCCTTTAAGTCCCGAAGTGTACATTCGGCCCCGAAAGTTGTATTTTCTGGACTGTTTTAATTAAATTTCATTTTATCGGGTCAAATAAAATATATATCATTCTTCCAATTAATATTGGCCTTTAGAATGAATATATATTATCCCACTTTAATTTCGTGGTCGCCGAAATTAATTTCGGGCTGTTATCTGTTTAATTACCTATACCGGTAATGGGACCTCGTTTGATCGAAAGGCCAACTTTATGGCTCAATTTATTTACAACCTCATATAAATATTATCTAGACCAAGATGAATATAATATTTGGTCCGTAAATATCGGATGGTCGTCACTCACGTGTGGGCCCAACGTGTATTTTACTGTTCAAGTAACAGTAAAAATGAGAACGCGTCATCTCGTAAATTCATTAGCAATTTCTCATGACTCAATATGTGTATTGATATTTTGTGACATTTTAATAAAATGCTACACATCTTTTTAAGTGATCCCAAATGTAAAAACAGATAAAATCTTATCTGTTTGTTCCCAAAATAAAATATCTTTAAGGTAGGGTCCTCCAAAAGTACCATCCTTTAATATACCAAGTTAATCAATATTATTCATCCCATTATTTTGGTTTCTTAGAATGTTTATATTTCTTCTGTTATAAATTCGTAGTCCTACGAATTATTGACAGTCCGATAATTAAGGACTCCCCACTATCGAATAGTGGCCCTGGCCCGCTCGGCCGTCCAGTTGTCGCTCTTTATAACAATGGGGTCCACGACCCATTCCTACTATCATAATAGTATCGTTTTGGAAAATAGTAATATTTTATAAACTTGAAATACCACGTGTGGTCCTACGTCTAAATTAATAACCCTTTATTAATTTAGGACAAAATTTTACTTTCTCATTTATCGAGACTACTCTTAGTCTTGATTTACCTTCTTTAACCAAGTACTTTACGAAAAAATTTTATCTGGGTAAAATTCGGGTCCGGTGTTACAGTATAGGCTTGGCATCCGGCCGCACGGCGAGTTTATGGCATATGAGGCTGGGGTCGATGCCCGGCATGTCCTCCGGCCCTCTGGCGAATAAGATCCTGAACCTTCGGAGGACGGCTATGACCCCTGCTCTGATTTCCGGCTCTAGATCCGCACCGATGGACACCCTCCTGTCCGTCGGGTCGTCGAGCTCAATCTCTTCCAGCAGAGTTGCCGGTTCTAGTTGAGCGTCCAAATCGGTCTGTTTGGCCTTCTCGGAGATGCTGTTGACCCGAGCCTCCCGCTCGTTGAGCTTCTCCATGGCCTTCGTGTAGCAGGCCCTGGCCATATGAGGGTCCGTACGTGCTACCCCCACTCCAGTGTCGGTGGGGAACTTGATGCACGAGTGCCGTACGGAGCATATGGCCCCTAGGTCCTCCAAGCCGGGTCGGCCTAAAATGGCGTTGTGGGCGCACTTTAGGCGGACCACGACGAATGTCATCCCTATTCGGGCGGTGTGAGGGCCGTCGCCGATCTCTACTGGCAAGATGATGGTGCCCTCAGCGTCAATGCAATCCCCGGTGAAGCCGGACAGCGGGGTGCGCAGAGGGTGCAGCATGTCCTTCCTGAGCTTCATTCCCTCGAAAGCCTTCCAGTAGAGGACGTTCACACTGCTCCCGGTATCAACAAGGACGCGGCGTACGATGGCATCGTTCACGTCCATGCTGATCACCAGCTCGTCTCTGTGCGGCGCTGGTGACATCGGCAGATCGGCGGGACCGAAGGTGATTGCCTCGATTTTGTTGCGCTTGGTGGGGGGTGCTGATACGGAACCCACATAGAGTGATCTCTCGAATTTTTTCCGCTCGGCGGGCGTGTCTCCTGTCTCAGCGCCCCCGAAGATCACCTTGATCTCCAGCTTCTTCTTTTTGCCCTTCGGGCCAAGGGATCCCTCCGGACGTTTATCCGCACTTCGATAATCCACATCCTGGGGCTCTGCCTCGCGCCGCTCGTCGCGGCGCCATGTTCGGGGTCGGGGATTCGGTTTCTGCTGGCTGCTTTTGTTCAGCAGCTGGGTGAACTCGCCCAAGTACCCCTGACGGATCAGCTCGTCGATTGCCTTCTTTAGTTGGCTGCAATTGTCCGTCAGGTGGCCGGCCCTCTGATGGTACTCGCAGTAGGCAGATTGGTCGAGCCCCATATGCTTCTTCATATCTTGGGGTTCCACCAGGAGGCCCTTATCCTTGATGGCCTCAAAAATTTGGCTCACTGGATAGGCCAAGGGGACATAGCGGTCGTCCGGCCGCGTTTGAATATCTCCGGACGGAGCCTTCCAAGGGACCATCGCCCCGTCCGCCTTCTTCTTTTTGTTTGGGGGGGAGGGCACGAGTCCTGGTCTGGGTCCGAGCCTGTCCGCCATCTTCCGTGGTTGGGCCGCGGGAACTCCGTCCCGCTGCCTGATCTCCTCCTCAATGGAGGCATACTTCTGGGCCCGAGCCAGAACCTCGGTGTAGCTGGTGCCGGGATTCCTCCTTAGGTCCCGGTATAGATCCCCTGTGGCTAGCGCACTGGTGAACATGTTGGTGGCCAGACGTTCGTCCAGATCGTCGACCTGCAGGACCTCGTCCCTCCACCTTACCAGGAACCTAGCCAGCGGTTCGTCCCGCCCTTGTTTGATGTGGGCGAGAGCCGTGACGTCCTTCCTGGGGGTGGTACTGGCAGCAAACTGAGCCATGAACTGCCGGGAGAGCTGTTCGTATGAGTCGATGGTGCCCGGCCTCAACTGGCCGAACCATTCTTGCGCCGGCCCCCTGAGGGTGCTGAAGAACAATCTGCAGATGGCCTCGTCCGATGCTCCCAGCATGGACAGGTTCCCTTGGTAGCTAATCAGATGGGCCTTGGGATCACCAGCCCCATTGTACACCAAATTGCCCGGGGGCCTGCAGTCCCGGGGAATCTCGACGCTCATCACCCGTGGGGTAAAGGGTGATGTGAGGGAGAAAGAAGGTGTGGCCGAGCCGACGTCCGTCCGTCTGTTCATCTCGGCTATCTGCCGCTCCATTGCTTCCAGCCTTGCATCCTGCGCGGCCCTTCCGGGGGACACTGGGGGCGCGGCTTCGGGGACGGCATTCTGCTGAGCGGCCACAGCATCGTGCGGCCGCCTAAAGATCTGCGCACCTCGCCGTTGGAAGCGTCGTCCAACGGTATTGATCCTTGGGGTTTCGTCTCCCCGCGGGACTTGGCGGGGAACCGATGGCGTGTGAGCCCTGGACGCAGCGATGCTGACCCTGGTTCGCCCTCCCGCCTCACGGGAGCCTGAACCTCCGCCTAGCCGCTCATGGATTGAGGGCCGGTGGTCGCTGGATCCCGTCGTATCATCGTACGACTGCATGCGGCGAATGGGAGAGAGGGGCGTTCGCTGGGTGCTTGCTGAGTACACCTGCTCCTGAGCCTCCCGTTCGTCTGCCAAACGGCGCATGGTATCAGCGAGTTCCCGCATGAGGCGGGGATCCTGCCTGGCCTCGAGGGGAATGAGGTCAGTGATACCCCCATTTCCCCCGGAGGTCCAGATCGTTGCGGACAGTTCCGAGTTCTGGCCGCGATTCCGGCGGCTTGACTCCAGACGTTCGGAGAGGTCGCGCTGGTTGTTGCTTCCTGACATCGTGTTTGCTGTAGGTAGATTTAGTAGCTGTTTGGGAGAGTTTCTGGAAACTTTTTGTTCAGTTTCCCACAGACGGCGCCAGTGTTGAGGTTAATTCCTTCAACCCTTGGACCCAACACGTAAGCCCAAAGATTTCGAGTGGAGTGAGTGTATGGATATCTAGCCCAACAACTATTAGATGGATCAGGAAACAGAGGAGATAGCAGGCAATGTAAATAGGTATTATTAACTTCGTAATAACTCCCCTAAGTACAATCTACTTGCTAAAAAGGCACGTCGGCCGTTCGTCTTACAAGGCAGTTAGAAATGCTACCAGTAAGAATGCTGAAGCTAGTATGCTAAGAATAGAAAGTTGCCAACCCTTTACAATGAAATAAATGCTTCTATTTATACCCACCAATGGGCAGGTGGCTGTACTGACGTGGCAGCCTGTGGACCGCTGGTGCCCCAACTACCAAATCTTTAGCATTAAATGCACTTCCCGCCAGAATCTAGGTTTCCCGCCTGATCAGTGGGGACGTTCGTCCACCCGGGAAGTGAGTTGGATCGCTCCAAGTGACCCTCGAGAGACACCGGCTGTTCGTCTCCTGGCCTTAATGGATATTCACCGTGTGGACTGGGTTTCCTCCGATGACTACAGGCTTGCTCTGGAGACGTTCGTCGCCATCCCTGGTGGCCCGTGGTCCTGCTCCTTGTTCCTGCATAGACGTTCGTCGGGATGAGCTGCTGGGCCTGAGCACCCAACACCAGACGTTCGTCCATCCTCAAGGAACATGGGCCAATGGGCTGGCCTAGTGTTCCAACTGGACGTGCGTCTGGCCAGGTGGGGTTAGTGGGCCGGACCTCGGCTTGGGCCCTTAACCCAACAACGAGTATTAGAACTACTACCACCATATGAAGCATCTATGTCGCCAAGGTGATTGCGAGGAGTACCAGTACGAGGTGATGAAGGAACATACACATTATCATCTTCAATTTCCATATGTTCTTCTGTGAGATCACATACCGGAGTGTATTTTAATGCACCTTGGGCATAAAAACCAAACATTTGATCCATCTTAGATTCAAGTTCAGGTTCAATCCCTTCTTCTCGAAATGCCTTAAATGCAGAATTCTCCTATACAAAATTAAAGCTTAAAATAACTTCTAAGTACTTAAAATTAAAACATGTGCTAAAACGAGTTAAACAAAAAAAACTAACCTTAATCTTGAAATTCCACCACTCATCCGAAGCATCAACAGTTCCTTTTGCAGGATCCCATCCCAATCCCGTCTCCTTTCCTTTCAATAGTTTCCAAAGACCCCACTTATGTCTCATCCAATCCACCTTATGCTTAAGTTTACCTTTATCCCATTGAAGGTTTGTACGTTTGACAAATTCAGCTTGTAGTTTCTTCCATACCAACTTTTCACCAGTTACTCCACCACTTTTTCCCTTACTCTTTTCAACATTTTGCATGCAGAGGTCACATAGGAGGTGAACTAATTCTTTTGTCCAACTAACTCTACCTATAGTTGCACTCTGTTCACTTTCGTTGTTCTTATTTTGTCTTCCTTGACTATCATTTAGAAATTGTTTTCGAGCGAGATCCATCTATATAGCATAGTACTGAGTTAATAATTTGTGAAATATTTATACAAAATAAAAGCAAAAAACTAATATTACTAATTACTACGTAATACATTTTACTATATGTTACCAAACTAATTTAATAACATTCCTTGCTTTAATAATTATTTTAATCTAGTAACACTTTTACCACATTTAGTACTACTCCATATTACTCTTATTTTATCCAAGGTTATAAGAAAAATAATAATACGCATTAGCTATATCACCATATCATTACTTCACAAAAATCAGAAAAACAAACTTAGTTCCTCACACTATCAACCAAGTCGTGATTGTAGTTCAATTACGGCTAGTTCCAAGGTCCTTGGGGATGGGTGCATCTTTTCTTTAACTTCAAGTGTCAGAGTCCCAAAAGGGCAGGCTATTCCTGGATGCATAGATGATAAATCTCACCTTAACCTTAAGTTCCTGGATCATTCAAGACTTTTTTTTATTGGATTAATAATCTCAACTGGAACGTTTCAAAAGAGTAGTACAAATTCTTCTACACATCAAGCAATATCTTTAGAATCACAAACTCCTAGGGGTGGGCAAAAATTACAAGTGTACTACAAAGTATACCAATATTTTGCGCTACTATTCTACTAGAGGAAACACAAGATTAGGGGAAACAAAAAACTTTACAAGACAAAAATAAAAATAGTTAATTAAGGGTTTTACTTAACTTTTTAGGGAAGCTAAATTTGCAAAAGTAGTTACATCTTTATTTTCTTGTTATGCTTCTTTTTATATCACATTTCACAAATGCATATTTTATGGGATATCACGAACCGTCCCGGTTTTTCTCGGGTTGTCCCGGTCCCGTTTTAAATGGGACAACATTGGGATACAGACTTATCCGATCCCGTACCGTACCGTACCGTTTTTATAAAAAACCGGGACGGGATCGGGATAAGCCAAATCCCGGACCGTCCCGGACCGTGCCCACCCCTACAAACTCCTATGGCGGATTCAACTGCATCTTCTTGTATGAAGACACTCAAACACATCTTTGGTGTGGCAATGATTTCAGTAATCACTGGCATTGTTCTAGGGAAAAAATACTAGATTGTTACGGCTTTAAGTAGTAATGCTAATATTGGAGTTCGAGGGTTCAAAGCATATTATGAAGATGAGGACCACTTAGATCCATAATCATCATTATTTGAATCATACTTTTCTTCCACAAACGAACACATACATCAAATTACACTAACTCCCATAATTCATGACATAACTCACATACTTATCCTTCAAGACTTTTCCTATATTTATTAATTTTCTCTAATTTCTCTAGCAAAAAAAATGGTTAAGACTTAAGACAATAGTATTACACTATTACATGGTAAATTCAAATCCAAGCCAGGCATATACCATTACACTCAAGTATTGAAGAAGAGGAGCGCAGGGATGGTGGCGAAACCAAAGTTTGATATAGCAGCAGAGTCTCTAGCTAATCCCAAATAAATGTAGGTGTACTAGCTATATAGCATGTTGACCCGCAGGAGGTTGATTTTGAGTTAATTGTGAAAAACATACTTCATAGTAAAATACTCTGTGATATACTCTGTTATAGTTAAAACATACTTCATACGAGTAGTAAAATACTCTGTGATATGAATACACAGTATGCGATTCATCCAAAAAAATGTGAATATACTCATCTGGAAATAAACTCACAGTCGTGCTTGGACATACCTTGGAGGAAGGGAAACCGTAGGAGAAGTGAAGCCTGCGAGCACTTTTCCTTTGACGAGAAGCCTGCTGCGAATAAAGAGAGAAGTTTGCCGGGAAGAAAAGAGACGCAGGGACGCAGGGTAGCGTTGGAATTATACGGACGAAACTGAAACGGCCAATACCTAAACGCTAGGTTTTGTGGCGTTTATTATTTTGGCTGTTTGGGACAAGCCAAGTGAAAAAGCTATTTTACCAAACACACTTATTGGCTGATTGATCCAGTCAAAAAGCCAATATTAGTCAAATCAGCCAAAAAACGGCTGATAGGCCACTAACCAAACACCCCCATACTCCGTAGGAACTATTCATTCTTCAATGTAAATGTCTTTCATCATTAATGTAGTTATAACATACTCCCTCCGGTTTTTAATAAACTTCACACTTTCCTTTTCGGGACGGTCTAAAATAAACTTCACACTTCCTTATTTTCTTTTTTGGCAAAGAAATCTACATCAAAACAGTATCAAACAGTATCTCAACAGTGCCAAACAGTGTCTCAACAGTGTCAAACAGTGTCAAAAAGTGTCTCAACAGTATACTCTATAGTAAAGTCAAATTTATTTCCTTATTTTGTGTGAAGTCAAAGAGTGAATTAGTTTAATAAAAACCGGAGGGAGTATAACATATTTAACATATTAATGTACTTATAAGGATCTTTTTACTTGGACTGTAATTTGCCCCAGACCAGACCAGACCAGACCAGACCAGACATGGATAGCTATAAAAATACAAAGAAACCAGACCTTACCAGACCAGACCATTTCAGACCAGACCAAACCAGACCAGATCATACCAGACCAGACCAGCAAATTACAGTCCAAGTAAAAACATCCTAATATACACTAGTAACATATAACATATAACATATTGAAGTAAATCAGAGACAAATATAACATATTTTCGGAAAAGGACCCAACAGGTCCTCTCCCACTACCCCGAAATAATCACCTAAACCATCCTACTTTAAGAAGTGTAACATTAATGTGTTTAGTACTAGATTCTTACCCGTAAGATGCACGGGATAAAAATTAGTTAAAGATAATATCATATGATTTGTTAGTTAATTAAAGTATAATTATTCTTTTTAATTAAATGTTTTTTAATTAAAAGTTTTGAAAAATTACAAAATTCAGCTCGGATTACTAATATCACATTTAATGTATTACCGATTATGTATTACTACGTACTCCCTCCGTTCTTTATTATTAGTCCTCCATTCCATTTTGGGCTGATTTTTATTATTTGTCCTTCTTTCCATTTAAGGAAAGTTTTTACAATCAATATATCTTTATACCCCCACTTTGATAACCATTACCCATTTCTCTTTTCTACTTTTTCATTTACCCACTACTCATTACACCTTTTACACTACCCCTATTACTTTCCTCTTAAAACTCGTGCCGAAGCCTAAGAGGACAAATATTAAAGAACGGAGGGAGTATCTATTTATAGTATTTAATTTGTTCATAAAAATTAAGAGTGCCTTGCTCCCAAGTAAGACAGAGACCTGGATCCTAAAAACTTAGCCTATCCAATATATAGCCAGCCCATCTATACCCAAGCCCCAAATTAATTATATACGGAGTGTTTAACTTCCAACCTACTTAAATGCAAAAAAAAAAAAAAAAAAAAACAAACTTCCAACCTACTCAACCCTAACACCCCATATATGCATTAATGTACTTATATTTTATTGAAGTAAATCAGAGTCAAATATAACACATTTTCGGGAAAGGATCCAACAGGTCCTCTCTCACTACCCCGAAATAATCACCCGAATCATCCTACTTCAAGAAGTGTAACATTAATGTGTTTAGTATTCGTAAAGCATCTAATGAATTCAAATGACCGAAACGCAGTCTATGACTCCAGATTAAGGATGGACCAGGCCTGGGTTGACCGACCCGGCCCCCCACTGTTCTGAACCGGCCCGAATCGGTTGTCCGGGACTGGGCCATGGGCCCAACCCAAGAAAGATTGGGGTGGGTAACGGGCTAGAGCCCTCTTGGAATCGGCCCGGCCGGTCCAGGAGACCGGGACTGGTCCGGGCTCAAAATGTTTGTTTTGTTTGTTTTTTTCGAGTGGATTGGCTTGTAGGCAGATTGGGCTGGGTGGTTTCGGGGGTAGGAACAAATAAGGAAAACAAAAAAAAAAATACAAGACCCGACCCGGGCCCGGAACCAACCCGGGCCAGTACCGGGCCTAACGCCCAAAATATTTGACCCGCCCAAGACCCGACCCGGACCTGATCCTAACCTGGGCTCGGTCCACCCCTACTCCCGAGTCCCGATTGAATCTGACATGGACCATTGCATTTTCCAAATGTAGATATTTTTCCACTGGAGTCCCAGTTGCATCTTAAGAGGAGGTAGGAAAAACTATTTCTTGTTCATCACCGTTCGAAATTAGGATTCTTCGTCGTACACTCGTACTTCTCAACCTAACTCCCCTGGCAAGTCATCGGTGAGAGAGTCGAAACTCGAAAGAATTCATCTATGATTGTTGAGGAGACTTTAGGCATTTACAAGTTGAGAGTAGGGAGTTTGATCGACCGAAAGTGAAGGCCAGCCATCTTCACGAAGCTCAGGTAAGTGATTGTAATGTGTAATTACTTTGATAATGGCAGTCATCATCCTCATGCAGTGTTAATTACAACTGGATCATAATGGTAATAGATGAATTCATAATTACACTGGTTCTAAAGTAGATTTAATTCATCACATTGAAATGTTAATTATTTGTATATAGATTTTTTGAGATTATTCGAAAGTTACCACAACAATGATGTGGTAGTTGATTAAAATAGCCTGAGTGAAGAAGTTATGTAAAATAACAATAAATGCTAAAAACTGAACTCCAAACTCCTATGAACTGTGAACCAGGGTGATGAAAATAAAAACCATAGCCAAAGTAGAACTAGCCAAAGTAGAACTGACTAAAAACATGACAGTAATTAATCTTATTTTGGGAATAAAAACATGATAGACACTAGATAGTCCTATTTTAGAAATTAGAATATAGGAACATTTTTAGT